CTGACATAGACGGATAGATATGAACCGGCATATATATATATATATATATATATATATATATAGAGAGAGAGAGAGAGAAAGAGATGCGAGGTATGTTGTGTAAGCTTAACCAGACGTTGTAGTTACGTTTCTTTCCAAAAAGGGAGGGGAAAAAAAGGTTTATTTCCTTATCTCACAAAACAGCTGCGTAATATTAGTTTTAACTTTGTTGTGATTCACTCAATTGTCCTGATTAAATGCAGACGTTGTCAAGATAGCATAATCGTCGACCGATCAAACCATTTGCCTCATCTTTTCTCATTTCTCTGTCATAGTATCTGATTCTATTCATTATCTATTTTGCCAGTAATTTATGGATTTGGAGAAGCCCAGGAGGAGAAACCCAAAACCAAATCGACTACATAACCATCAGTAAAAGATTCAGGAATATAATTCCATACTGCGAAAAAGAAGCAAGTGATATATAACCCCAGAATGGCCCTAGGGAATTTGAAAAGTGCTAAGGCCGTACCCAAATGCTACAGACTCAGGAATGATCCAAATTTAAGAAGTATACAAGCAGACTTAAAAACAGATACAGTGAACTAAATTAGGATTTGTTTAAATCATTTTATTCCAAGCAAGGCAATAAAGCCGCTAAGACACAAGCGGGTTGCTGTTCCTTTTAGCTCTTAATAAACTTTGTCTTTATATTATTTATCTTAAAATATGACACTGAATACGAAGGTGCATTGTGATAACGAAAGAGAACTTCTAAAATCTGAGCAAAATATTGGAAAATAGGAAAATTTTGTTACTTAAATATATTCAGTATTTACATTAGTCGGACTATTGTCCTCATCTTTGTCGCTATATTTGTCACAAGGTTTCGGCCGTTGTACGCTCCGACCTTCTTCAGGTGGTTGGAATTTCGAACTGAACCCTTTATTTCGATCACTGGGGTAGACTGTTAAGATGAGGACAATAGTCCGACTAATGTAAATACTGTACATAATACCTTATCTCAAAAATATAGACAGACTTTAACTATATTCGTTTAGTTATTCTGCGAGACTCATCCGAGAATAGCGCTTATTTTAAATTCCTTGGGAAAGGGGTCTGTAATTCCTGAGGAGCGCTTATCTTAAATTCCTTGCGGAAAGGGGTCTCTAATTCGTGAGCCACGCTTACATTAAATTAATTGGGGAAAATGTCTCTAATTCGTGAGGGGTACTTATTTTAAACTCATTGGATAAAGGGGTATCTAATTTTCTGAGAGGGTGCATATTTTAAATTCCTTAGAGAACAGGGTCTCTAATTCGTGAGGGGGCATTTATTTAAAATTCCTTGGGGAAAAGGGTCCCTAATTCGTGAGGGATGCTTATTATAAATTCCTTGCGAGAAAGAGGTCTCTAATACGTGAGGGGTTCTCATTCCGAATTCCTTGAGAAAAGGTCTCTAATTCGTGAGAGGCGCTTATATTAAATTCTTTGTTGAAAGGGGTCTCTAATGCGTGAGGGGTGCTTAATTTAAATTCCTTGGGAAAGGGGTCTGTAATTCCTGAGAGGCACTTATTTTAAATTCCTTGGGGAAAGGGGTTTCTAATTCGTAAGGGGCGCTTATTTTAAATTCCTTGGGGAAGGTGGCCTCTAATTAGCGAGTTGCGCTTATTTTAAATTCCTTAAAGAAAAAGGTCTCTAGTTCGTAAGGGGCGCTTATTTAAACTAGCAGCATGGCCTGGCGTTTCCCGTACTTGATTAAAAAATCGTATGACTCATACAGCAATCGCTATCACTTGACTTAAAATATTTAAAATATTTGCCTTTAAAGGTATGCCCTTTGCGTGCTGATGTTGCTACATGCCTTACTTCTTGCCTATCTCACACTGCGAATTTTTTCTCAGCTCTATACTAAACATTAAATCTGTTACGAAAAAAGAACTAAACAAAATGAACACAAAACGATCTGCTTTAAAAAAGGACTCGTAACTGTAAAACCGAATGAAAAAAGAATGTTAACAACAAATACTTTTTCACAGCCAACCCAGTTCTGCAGAATCAGAATCAACGTTGAGTTTAAGCAAGCGAATGAGCCAATTGGAGTAAAGTGCCATGCAGATTTAAATTTTTCCCACTAGTGACGAATACAGCTATCGATTTTTTTGCATGCTATCATGCTAGTTAACATTCGTGTCAGTCAGCTGTTCGCTCTCACGCTGGCCAATAGAATCTTCCTGCCTATTCGTGGCAGCCAGCTATTGGCTCTCACTCTGGCCAGTAGAAAATGGCCGCAAACTACATGAAAATTGCCGTAGAAGCATGAAAAATTGATTATTTCCACTATCGATGGGAGTTGGGAAATGCAAAGTCGGTCTTGTCCTTTCCGCTAACTTGGAGCATGTGCATGTAAATTTTGGTGTAAATGCGTCGAAAATTGCGGCCGTGCATTCGTTACACACACACATCCTGCCTTTTATAGATAGATATTCCTTGGGGTTAGGGGATCTCAAATTCCCATAACTAATGCTATTCTTCCATAAAATGAATTTCTTCAGAGTAATTATTGTTTTGTTAATACAGTCGGTATTTATATAGTGAAAAGGGAAGACATATATCGAACGCTGTTTAGAATTTTAACGATACAGGGTTGCTTAGTTTTAAATATAGATTTTAAAAAGATTTACACGTTCTTTATATCTAGATATATTTTATATATTTTAAAAACGTTCTTTAGTTTTCTAATTATTCAACCAGTATTCTTTGTAAATAGCCCATATTCTATCAGCATAAGTTTTGTAAGGCAAATACTGAATGATCCTGGACGCAAATTTATTATAGAAAAGTCCGAAATTCCTACAAAAATGCAATGTTTCGTATCCGTTGAGGAAACTTTCGTTAGAAAGAAAGAAAAGATTATGCAATATCAGCACTCTTCTAAGGCTGTTTTGGAGATAGCGAAAGACGTCTTTCAAAAGCTAAGCAAAGTATCAAGAAACAGAAAAATATCATTAGAAACAAAGATACGTGTACTGAAATGCAATATCAGTTTTCTTATATGGTAGAGAATGTTGGAAAGTCTGGTCACAGATGAAGAAGAGAGTTGAAGCAAGAAAAATATAGTTCTACAGAAGGGTGCTGAGAATACCATGGACCGAACAAGTGAGCAAGGACGAAATTTTAGCGAAAATAGAAACAAAAAGGATACTTGTACTTAATTTCCGGAAGAGACAACTGAAATTTCTAGGGCACAAAATGATGAAAGAAGGCTTGGAAAATTTGACACTCACAGGGCATATTGAAGGTAAGTGGGACAAAGGAAAACAACGCTTAGCCTACCTAACAATCTTGTGTAAATGGATGGCGAAGCAGGGACTAGGAGAGATAGCGTAAAGACAAAATTTAATAAAAGCTACAAAGGACAGGAAATTGTGGAGAGCCATGATCACCAACGTCCTGAAGGGACACGGTACATAGAAGAAGAATAATGAGTTTGAGTAAATGGATGGTGGAACAGGGCTTAGGAAAAAAACAAAAAAGACAAAATTTATTAAGAGCTACAAAAGACAGGAAATTGTGGAGAGCCATGATCGCCAACGTACTGTAGGGACATGGCACATAGAAGAAGAAAAAGAGAAGAAAAGAATCCTTGCTTTGTACACTTAGTTTCGTAGACAGGTGTATTTTGTGAAGGCTGTACATTCTATGACGGAGACATCACACTACCTGGCTTACTTTGCTGATTTGAGCGCCAATTTCTTTGTTCAAAGATTTAATTATATATAAGAAATTTGAAGAAGATATTCTCAGACAGACTTCAGGCATATATTTTGAAATTGCTTCAGTCAAGAAATAAAATGCCTAGAGTTTCAAATCAAAGTATCAATTTTTCTAATATATTTGCATTATTTATGTTGTGATTTTTAACCAATCATATTTACAGAATTTTAACCCCAAAAAATTACAATCAGTGTAAAGTTCACACATTTACGCGAAACATTTTCTTGGGGCAGTTCTACACAATATCTGGAATCATGTGCTAGTCTGAAATAAACTAAATCCACATGAGGTAAATTTGGATTTTTGATGTATAAAATATATGCTATATATATATATATATATATATATATATATATATATAATTATTTATTTAAAATATGATTCCATAAAAACTTCAATATAATTATTTGAATTAAATTGAATTAAAGTAAGCACTGTTCCATCTTCAAGCGAAATTTTTCTTGGAAAAGATTCAATTTAATTCAAATAATTATATTGAAGTTTTCGGCTCTTGTTTTGAAACATGAGAACTCGTATGTAGCGTTGGAATCATATTTTTGAATAAATAATTATATTTATGCTCTACTTTTGTATCGAGCACTATTTTTTAGAAATAATAGCAAAAATACTAAAGAACTTTGGATTATTTACCTAACAAGTTCTTTCCTATTTTCTACATATTTTCACACACACACACACACACACACACACACATATATATATATATATATATATATATATATATATATATATTACCTGTACTATATATATCTATATATATATATAACTATATATATCTATATATCTGTATATTAGCTGTATATATATATATATATATATATATATATATATATATATATATATATAATACAGGTAATATATCAGTTGGTAACGCAGGTGGATCTTAGTAATATCCGATATACACAGAGAGCTCAATGTATTTATTATAACAAGGCATATATTTTATACATCATAAAATCCAAATTTACCTCATGTGGGTTTAGCTTATTTCAGACTAGCACATGATTCCAGATATTGTGTAGAACTGAAAAAAAAATTATTAAATCAAAGAAATGAAATAACGGTTTTTTTGCAGACACCGCCAAATATACGCCTTAGACAACTGATAATTTATAAATGGATAAAAAATCCATATATTATATAAAAATTACACAATAATATATATGAATCAATAAGTATCTGTCGGGTGTGACGTGATTTGTGCTAAAAGTGACTAGAAATATA